GTACTAGATGTAATTAACGAGAGGGGAACTAGCATACTAATAAGAATACTCCAAACAGAGCACTGTGGCAGAAAGTCAGACGCTTACCTTGATTGTTTCAGGATTTGTAACAGCTTTTAGGACTAAAATCAAAGTTTTGAAGTGTGGACTAACAAATACTTATGATTGTTAGGTTGATGTAGCTTTCCAAAGTTTGTTTCTCTCTAAATTAAAGGTGGGGTAGGTAAGTTTGAGAAACCGGCTTGAGATACACTTTTTGTTATATTCCATGGAATGCTCTTAACATCCCGATAGCAATGAATATCTTAAGTGCTTTGACAAAAAATCCATTAAAAAATGTCATCTGTGGAAGCCGTAATACTGTAAAAAGTACGACCAATCATTTTAGCCGGCCCGGCTAAAATAACTGGATGGCCTACCTGCCTGTCAGCCTTCCATCTGTGCACAAACTTATCTCGTGCCCTCATTGGTCATGTGCGCGTTCGTGTGTGTTGGAGGCGGGGCTCTGTCAGGAAGTGGCAGATTTTCTCCGGTCGTGTATTTTCAAATTCTAGCGATCTCGAGCTGGTTTCTCCAAAATTACCTACCCCACCTTTAAGAGCTAAAAAACATGTTGCATTGTGTGTAGTGACCTGTGTTATCCATGAGTGCTCCTTATAATCTTTATTTACTATAATTCAGTCTTTTAAGCCAGCTTGTCAACCTCTTTGGTCATCTGTAACTATTTCTATTCATTTAACACGGCTACTAAACTGAGATGAGTATACGGACAGGTACAAGAAGACAGGTACTCACACGAGGAAGTGGTAGAGGAAGCATCTCAGTCCAGCAGGCCTCTCCAGGAAGTTGTAAACATCACCCTGCATGCTCGTCTTGGTGTAAGGGCTCTTGAACTCTTTTTGATGATTTAGCATCCAGCTGGAGCGAGGGAGAGGCGGAGGGACGGAGGTGATGGAGGGCTGGCTCTGAAAGGTCGGGCGAGCTGGGCTCAGTGGGTCCACTGGCGGAAAGGAGGAGATGCCAGATCTATTATTCCCGCCTGGGGGGTCCAGTAAAACTACAGGGTAGGGCCTTCTGTCCGGTGTAGTAGCCAGCAGGGCAGTACTAGTAGTCGTAGTGGAGGCTGCATCCATGTCCTGGTCCAGGCTGAGGCTGGTGCTGGTGCTGGCGTAACCGTTGGGACTGCAACTTATATAGGAGCTCCCCATCCTGCTGCCATAGTCGCGTTGCACATGGCACGTCATGTGAAAGGAGTGTGCTCGTCTCTCCCCCATGGTGCCGTTCAGAGGGGGCCCAAGGAGGATTTAAAAGTCCTGGAAAGTCCTGGAGGTTTCGACCAAGATAAAGGATGAGTCCTGTAAAGACACCTAGCTAGGCATGGCTAGCTGCCCGCTGCAGACAGGAGGCTTCTGTACTGCACTGCACGTCCATACCTGAAGAGGGAGGATTGACATGAGTTATGGAGATAGTATGACTGAAATAAGCTTTGCCCTGTATAGCTAGGGCTTTGTTAATTTAGAATCCCTCATGAAAATACAAGACAATCTAAAGCTTAATGTGCTGAACCACTATTAAACTGTATTTACAACTGCGATAGTTTATTTTGTCTCGAACTGCATTCTTTTTAACATCATCTTTTATATCTCACAATATTTCCAAACTGTTAAGATTTTTTGGGAGTAGCATAAAAGCAACCCACAAGGATATTAACGGTTTTGATAATTTGTTGGTTAATAGGTCTTAACGCAAACTTTGAAGTTACTATTGAAGCAACTTCTTCTGTGACAGGTGGCATTCAAGCGTAGCAGAAATAATAGTTTTACTACAAAATATCCTCAGATTATAATCTGGCAAATAGGAAAGGTGATTCCCCTTTAGCATGCTACTTTTGAAATGTTGCCATACATGGATCAGAGACCTGTTGTGCTTATAGGGCACTGATGCAGATTAAGCCTTTTCATTGTGAAACAGCCCTAGTTTTTACTCCAAGATATAGGCTATCTGCAGGATGGTTGCGCCATGAGGAGTCGATGTTTGCTAAGTTAAAAAGTGGTGGAAAATAGAAGGGAATGCCATTTGTGAGTGATAATTAACAGTGGCATGTACATTTTTGAAAATGCTAATTCAGGGAGGCTATGACACTGTGATTTATGACCATGAGAAATACAAAATTAAAATGGATGTAATATCCACAGAACAGAATAAATGTGTGTCAGAAACAGGTCAGCAGTCCATTTTCCGCTGCCTTTTTCTGAGGATTTACCACTGCAGAACTTTTGCTTTGTCATTTATTGACGTCAAAACCTGCCTAGTTTCCCATCTGGGAAAGTAAAACAAATGCAGAACAGGCACTCTGCTAACATTTAGAGAAAATAATCCACTATTATGTTAACCAGCCAACATCTAATGTTAAGCCAGCGACACAGCTGCAATGTCACCTTCCCTGTCAGTGACACAAAACATGTCACATCAGAAAAGCTTAAACAATGTGCAAGCAGAGGAAAATTAGACTGATTAAACCTGGAGACAGTTTGAGGCCACGTTAATGACTGTTTGGCAACTTGTCTCTGTTTTCTTCATTACAGTCACAGAGTGCAAGGTTAACGCCTAGCACATTATTCATGCATGCACACTGGTTCAACACTCCAAGTGATGCATGTTAATATTATTCAATGCTTGATTACTTCGAAAATTGGTGTCATGAAGTTAACTTAATATGCAAGTTATTTTTAAGTCATAATTGACTTCCCTAATCAAATCTATACCAACAATCACAGGTGCAGTGTACTGTGTGAATTGTTCAAAGGGAGCTATAAATCAGTAACACATCCTAATGAATTATTGTGACTAATATCAGTTCCCTATGTCCCTAATGAACCTGTAACAAAGTATGGACAGTGTGACAACTTGACAAAAACAGTTTCCATCTAGTCAAAGTGAATTGTACTCCTTGTATGAACAATTAATCAGTGTGTCAAAGGGAGGTAGGTGAGTCAGTATCTTCTCTGGAAAGACACTGCACCAGGTAGTGTGATTGATGACCTGATGTTGTCGCAAAGGATCGGAAAAAGTGTCATGGGACAAAAGAGGTAAGCTAATTGGAGGCAGCCACCCCCGTCCATATCTGTCCTCAACTAGGGGTGAACTGATGACAACAAACACACAGCTGCTGTATCCCTGAAGATAGAGGTTCTACCTTTAAAACACACCTTCATGACACACACAATGAACCGTCAGACACTCCTGAACCGACTTTGACATCTATCACTACTGAAAGGACAGGGTGTGGGTTAAAACAAAAACAATTATAATATTTAGATTGCACAGCCTGAAGAAACAAGTGTTACTCTTTTTATCTGCATAACTAACCTGTGTAAGCAGTAAACTAAATAACAGGTTTGTTTAATGACGCTGCATAATCAAGCACATGTAAAGTCAATATTTGCATAAATTAATGCTGTACGTCACAGTTGGTGAGCTCTTAAAGAATTAGACTGAACAGCAAAACGATGTCAAGCTTACAGTAGGTGTCAAATCTTACCTTAAACTCCAGAAACACTCCTCAAGTTGTATTCGGTGATAAATAATAGGACATTATTTCAGAAGCCAGGAGACAAGTTCGGATTTATTTTCTTTTTATAAAAAAATCCAAAGTTCTATCGCAAGAATAACTCAATTAAAATAAAATTGAATTCATCTTCCAGCGCTAAAATGTAAAATGGACATCATAAACACAGTAAGAAGCATAAGTCTCTCATCGGCTGCTGCCTGCAGGACTTGTCCCTTTGAAGTGCATCGCAGCCTGTGCATGGATTTATGCTGCGTTCAAGGAATAGGGGAATTTTTTGTGTCAGTTTACTATTCGTCTACTACAAAGTTTATACATTCAAATTGAGTGAAATATATGAAATGAATTACATTAGTGAAATATATTAAGTGAAAGGTGGGTCCTGCAACATAATATGATATTGTGGGCCTGTCTTGATAAGGGGTTGTGTGTCCAAATATAGTCCTTTGAGTGCAATCGTTTTATTCTAGCCTATATTGAAACCTCATGGTGCATGATGAGTCTCTTTAAAGTTGTGTTAAATCAGATTAACATTGATATATTATACACCTCGGCCAAAACAACAGGACCTTAACCGGGGCTTGCAAACATGTTTTGCCCCAAAGCCCGAAAAGAAGTTCACAGAAAGTGCACTTTGTATCCTCCTTAATGTAAATTTGGTACATACTACATACACGTGCCTAGTGTAACATCACGAAGACCAGGAATTAAACACTAGAATAGCAACACAACGTGATACAGTTTGACCAAGGAGTGTAAACAACACCAAATATTTATATTCCCATCATAAACTAGCTAGGTATTGTATAAGCACGCTGATAGACATGTACACAACACAAACAAATATATTTGCAAACTTACCCCACATGCAGAATATTCTCTTATGCTAGATCCGGTTGATGCAAATGTACCTCAATAAATATCACTAACATCCATGCTACTTCTTTAAATAGAAGTGAACTCAGTAGGTTTATCAACTTTCCATTAACCTTAAACATTTTAATTGTGTTCAACCCTTTTTATATATCTAACAGGAAATTAGTCATGCATATACCTCTGACTCTTGCGTTAACGTGGGTGGGTTTTCACGAAGTTCAGGGCTAAACGTGGGCCTTGCTTCTTCTGAAATAATGAGTTTACATTTTCAAGCTTATTTGAACGCACCACAAAAAGCAGCATCTGTCACACTTGCATGGTTGCAGCATAACATAAAATAAAGTACTCGTGTAAATACGGATGGAAAACAGCTATTTTCATTCATTTCAACCAAAATAGTTTCTTATATTTGAAATAAATTATAACAGGGCCGGATGAAGTCCCATTATAAATTACGAGCTGTTATTCCATACATATGCTCACCTGTAGGAGGCGCTGAAAACTCGCTCTGCACCGTGATAACGTTTCGCAATTCGCCTTCTTGGTCCCTCACTGTACGCCGTAGTCATTGGGAAAACATGGCATCTCACACAAGTAAGGCATTTCTGTCCCTAGGTCGAATTAATGTTTCTGGTGTTGGACTCCAGAAATCACTGAGCAGAGCCACATACGCGACCGATGTGTCTACACACACTGGAGGAGGAAATAAAGGTGAGTTTTACTGTCGCTGCTGAGAGACATACACACTCATTCGTGCTGCACGCCTAGCTAATGCATGGGTGCTGTTAACTAACCAAGGCCAAGTTATTGTCCCCATGTCCTTTGACAGTACATTTATACTAGCAGTCAGTGTCTTAACTTTAAATTAGACACATCAGCTGTAATCACGGACAACCATATTTGTAATTTGTGCAATTTGATATGTATTGAGGCTTTATACATCCATGTTGGAGTTAGTTCAAGGGGTGTTTGTGTTGGCTCCTGTGTCTATTCATATTGGCACTAACAAGATGACATCTTATCTTCCAAACAATATCTACCCACCCTCAGTAATCATACTTAAAATAAGTAAAAAGACAGAGGCATGGTCTAGAAACGGGATGTAAATCTAAAATAACTAATACTATTAGGCTGTTTACTAATGCTTCCTGCAGTTAAATTATGTTGGATATTAGTTACTCTGCTGATGTACTATTCTTAATCCCTAATGTTTGTTTGGTCTACCTTCACAAAACAAGCAAATTAAATGTACTTTCCACCATTTAAAAGCTGGGGGATCTTAGGAATTGTAGGTATGTTTCTTTGAAAAACTGCGTAAGGACATATCTAAATGGTTGGCTATTATTTTTCTGTATATAAAAAAAAATCTATTTGCAAATTAACATAAACACACTTTTGTGGCTCTTTATAAACAGTACAGCAAAAGATCATAATGATAAATAAAACTGTTACAATGTACATCATACTATGAAATACTCCTTTCACATACACCTTACGTACATGGTATCCTGAAGTAAGTGCAATGTTGAAATACAAGTAATAAAAAATAAAAACACTATAAATAAATATAACAGTGTTAGCAGCATGAAATGCATTGCTGTTACCAAATGTAGTATTTTCTTTATCTTTACACATGAAGTTTATTTGTGTCTTAACTGGAAATATTTTATTTTATATATATATATATATATATATATATATATAATATCAGGAGGCGTGTGGCGCAGTGGGTAGAGCGTTGGTGTTCGGATCAGGGGAGCACAGGTTCAAACCCCACTGCAGTCATTATGTCGTTGTGTCCCTGGGCAAGACACTTCACCCCAAATTGCTCCTGTGGGGATTGTCCACAGTATTGAGTGTGTAAGACGCTTTGTAACATGTCATGTAATGTAATGTATTTTATATTTCAGGTCACCCTGATAGAGGCGGTCAACGTCAAGGATTCATAAAAAAACAGCGGAGGACTGTAAGTCTGCATCTTTAATGTCTCTTTTCCAAGATGAAGGTTCACATATTTTACACGTATCATCATTAATCTGCAATAAACGGTCACAGGTCTTCTGTTGTAAAGCCTCCCTTTGTCTTGTGTTTTGTATCAGTCAGGGGAGCCCAGGACAGCTAAGATGGCGGTGGATCAGGACTGGATGTCTGTTTATCCCACAGCCACCCCCTTCAGACCGAGCGCCGTCCCCCTGCCCGTGAGGATGGGCTACCCCATGAAGGGAGGCGTCCCTCCAGAGAAGATGGGCAACTTGGAACTGATCAAGGTTGGACCTCTTTTATTGAAGCAAAATAAACATGTTTTCATAAAGAACATGCGAAAAACATGATACTCTCTACCACCACCCATCCCAACCACCTATGATAGACATTTCTTCCTTATTTACTAAAGTAGAAACTAATCAAATGACCAAGGAGTGAATTCCTAATGTATGTTCATAAAGTATATCCTTTGGGTAGACAATTAAAGCACACAAGGACACATTTGCATAATACTTTACTATAGCCACAGGGTTGAAAGCTGGTAATAAACACTTTATCCAAGCTGTACCCGCAAGTTAAATGACATTTACTTTTGATGGTTCTCATTTAGTCCATGTGTGTCTCCCATGATCCAGACCTTATCAGTTGGATGACATTTAGTTGGGTTTTTGTCCAAAGGCATTCTAACATCTATTTTGAGATGTAATTTTAAATTATTAAGTACATTTTAATGTTGGGTTTTACATCACTGACAATTGGGAAAGGCATTCTGGTGTGTTTGTGCAGTCTATGTGGATTTTAATAAGTTATATGAAAGATGTTGTCGTGTTTGTCTATGTTTAGACTTTTCAAGGATATTAAACCAACTGCGGCGTTCCTAATTGCATTCACGATGTAGTTTTCTTTTTTAATCTTATCAAATCAACTAACCATTTAGAATAAGGTCAGACCTCATTAACAACATGTATCCACACGGCACAAGGATACATTTTTGCAGTTTTCGAAATTGGGCACAGAATTAAGTTGTAGGGGTATTTTTGCACGAGTTGAATAAGATTAAAATCTGCTACAGGCTCAATCTGTCCAAACACACTTGACAGTGGGCTGTTTCTGTTTACCTTGGCATTTACTTCCTGGTATTCATTATGATGAGTTAATTGCAGCCTAGCAGGAGTATTGGAGCACTTTTTGCTCTGTTTCTGTCCCCGGATTACTGAGCTGCTGTGACCAGACACCAGCTGCTCCATCTGGACTGCAGCCACAGCAGATCCACTACACCCCCCTCCACCCTCACCCTAACCCCACCCCACAGCTGGATCACTGCCCCCAGCCTAACGATATTGATTTCATTATCTTGCTCTGCCAAGAGGGCTTAACTGCTCTTGGTTTTTGACGCTTGAAATGTTTTATTTTTTTTAATTAAAACTTGTATGTTTGTCTAAACATGCTAGTTATGTGACCTATACACATTTCAATTTGATCTCAATTTAGTTTAGTTTTCCTCTTTGTGTTCTGTGAAATTAAACACCAGTTTATTCTGAAATCTAATCTATTCTTAAATCATCAATTTGTAGATGGTCATGAAAGCTGTTTGTCTGAATTTTGCTTTCCACTTTCTAAATGAATATATTATTACTGCAAGACCTTTTTTTATGTTGTTTATGCTGTGAATTTTAAACCTTTCTATGTCTTTCTCATTTCTTTCAGATTCCAAATTTTCTGCATTTGACACCGGTGGCCATCAGGAAACATTGTGAAGCTCTGAAATGTAATTTAAATTATTGTAAAGAGATTTTGTTGTGATGTGTAGCAGCAAATAATATTCACTTTAATACATATATAGGCTGAGTCAGTGTTTTTAATATTCCTTTTCTCTACTGTCAGCCTTCTGTACAGAGTGGCCCTCTGCCTTGGACACTGACGCCCAATGTGACGAGCACTTCCCCGTCAAAGTGGAGAGCACAGACTACTTGTCCGCAGCCCCCTCCCTCAGAAACCCCTCAGCTCGGGTTGTTCATCTCAGAGTGAGTCACCCTGCTTTTCCAATCCTTTAAAGTTTCGATAAATATGTTCTGACCTCAGCTCTACCTGATGATCTGCAGTTCACAGATGTATAGAAAGTAATGTGCAAAGAAGCCTGACATGAAAAATGAGATTAGAGATTTACAGCGATGCATAATCACCAGCTGACATCATGATTTATCTAGGGAGACGCTCTTTGTCCATTGACGTCAAACCTAAGAAATTATGCCATCAAGTCGGCAGAGATTATAACCATAAAAGCATATTCAACATGTGCTCAAGCTGTTGTGTTAAACGTTCTTGTGAAAGGGTTTGTGTTTGTCAACTAATACTTTTACAGAAAAAAGTAACAAAACATACATCACTGACATATATGTTGGGACATTTTAATATTTCTCTTAATCCCCGCTACCACTAATCCAGCCATGTGCAATCTGCCTCGAGAAACATACATGTAAACACATAACCACCATAAGCCATGAAACTAATACTCAACCTTATGAATATACTAAAGAAGTAAACAAATTAAACATAGGCTGGCCAGTTAAAATTCGATATAACACATTTAGCAATGGCATATGTCGGTTTGCTATCCTGGCTCCAAAATGGTGGAATGAGCTCCCCATTGAAATCAGGACAGCAGAAAGCCTACACATCTTCCGGGGCAGACTGAAAACTCATCTCTTTCGACCCCACTTCGAGCGATAGAACTACTAACAAAGAATTGCTAACAAAGCACTTATATACTAATAAAGGACTGGCTTATCTAAAGCCAGTTGAGTAGCACTTGAAATGTTTTGGCGCTATGAAACCTGATGTACTTATATGATTCTGTTTTCTTCAAGTTTGTATCTTCTTGTTCGAATGCACTTATTGTAAGTCGCTTTGGATAAAAGCGTCAGCTAAATGTAATGTAATGCATATACATTTAGGGATGGTCCACACAGGTCAACAAAAAGTAGATCCTTGGCGTAATGTAGCTAATATTTTTTATATTATTATCACATTACCTTCGTGTGTAGGTGTAAGCTTTATGTTTTAAAGTTTAACAGGATCTTAGAATATGGAAGAACAGATCAAAACACTATTTTCTGTTTGGTGGCTGGACAGTTTCTCCCCTGGCTTTAAGAGGCCAAATAAAATGTATTCTTTCTATTATTTGTTGGGTTTTATTATCATTTATTTCCCACATTTAAACAATAATAGCGTTCTGCAAAACATCTTTCCCTCCTCTCAGCTCTAAAACATGAAATCAAGCTTGACAACACAGACTCACAGCAATCAAAGCTGCCTGTGACAAATCTGTCATTTTCTAGGTGGATTTTTTTCCTGCAGTAATCACCAGCCATCTGCTCCACTGACACTCCGCCTTAGATTATATCAGCATGCTAGGAATTATTCAGACATTAATCCAGGTGGATTAGGCAAACAAAATAGATCAGAGGGCAAATCTCACGCAGTTTCAGCTTCACAAAAACTCATTCAGTTTTTAAACGTAAGCAGTAAGATTTTCTTCAGTGGAATTGTTGGAAAGAACATCTTTCAGAATAGACATGTCAACAGTTATCTTTTTTAGATGCAGTTTTGTTGCTTCATACAAATTATTCTAAATCAAAACTACGGGAAAAAAATGAATCGTGGAATAATCTCAGATTTTCATTCATCCATTGTGAGAGGGACTTAAGGGTTACTTTGAGCGTTAAAGCTGGGATTTCATCTGTAAAACGTATAGTGTTTTTAATCAACACAGTCAAAACTCCATATACTGTAGCTTAAATACAAATAGTCTGGGTTGTGGTTTTATTATGTCTACGGTATAGAGATTCAGACAGGAGGTATAGTACATGAATGAAATCACATCTGCCCTAATCGTATTGTCTGTGTATTTCTCTTTACATCACAAAGCTTACAAAACAAGTGCTCTAACTGTTTCTCTAGTAGTAATCCACTTGTCTCGTTGCCATCGCAGGTAAAACTGTCCAGTTTAAATCTGGATGACCATGCCCGCAAGAAAATGCTCAATCTGGTTGGAGAGAGATACTGCAAGGACACCGATATCCTCACCATCACAGCTGAGCGGTAAACACCTCTTCTTTAGGGTTCATAATACTAAATAAAGTTGTCTAGAAATGTAATAATTCACTTCCTTTTGTCCCTCCCTCCACCAGCTGCCCATTGAGGAAGCAGAATCATGAGTATGCCATGTACCTGCTAACTGTCCTTTACCACGAGTCTTGGGTGAGCAGAAAATATTCTCTTTTTTCTCTACTTTGCTCTGTCCACTTACCCATTTCTGTGTTTACTAAAGATGACTGTGCAGATACATCCGTCTCTCACTTGAACTGTTAACCTGCTCTCCTTTCAGTGCGTGTGCCCTTTTTAAAGGTTTTGTTTTTGCACACACATAAGACTGCAATAATCCGGATAAAGAAGTAAATAGGAAATGAGAGGTCAAGTAGTAACAGATATTATACAAGCAACTTCCTTTCTACTTAAGGAGTCAAATTTAGAAAAAAGGTATCTATCTCAAGCCCTGCACTTGATATATTAGGTGATATTGGTCATTAGCCAAGTTATTACTTTAACTAAACGTGTAAATTCCTCTGTCATCTAAACAATAATGCATTTGGATAATAGTGGTATAGTTAGCAGTGAGACTACTTGTATGCCTATGAACTGCACATTGTTAAAGCTTAATTATACACAAAATATTATATACAATTATTTTGTGATTAAAATGTTTTTTTGTTATTTTCTATCTAGTCATGTTTTTGGATGAACGATGTGTACAGTAAAATGTATAAATAAAGTTGTATTGAATTCAATGGTAAAGCCCTGAATTTACAGTTTAGTGTTAATGAAATGTCACTAAACTGGCATAATGGTCTGGACTAAGAAAAATAGCATTTACAATATATTTTGGGAATAAGACATTCCTTTAAAAAAAAGTTTGCAAAAATATATTACAAAGATGACCTTCCTGTAAAGATTTGTTTTATTCCTTTATCTGTATCTCCGGTGACATTTACATATGGTAAGCGACATGGCCAAGTTGCTTTTTACCAGGGAGTCGTTGTCCATCTAGCTCTGCGATCTGAGAGACCCATTAGGGAGGAATCAGCCTTGAATGGGCAGGAGGGACGGCAAACAGCAGCATTGTCCCGCTGACATTTCTCCACAGATTAGGGGAAAACAAACTCCCCTATCAGGTGTTGACCCTGATACTCTTAATTCACATTAAACCAGCCATGCCACATCAGAGAAGTCTGCACCAGGTCACCAGCTCAGGCACCGCTCGCATGAATTTGCAGCCAGATGCATAAAAGAAAATGACTCTCTTATTGTGTAACCTTTGCCTTTCGAGACCTATTCCCGTTATGGCTTAGTCACATTTTGAAAAAACAAATTCTCTCAGTTGGGAAAGGTGTCCGAGCCAGGAAGCTGAACACCGTGCGCTGCCCTTTTGGACACACAATGGAAGGCACAGTGCTTGTCCAGCAGGCTGGTGGAAGCTGTGAGCATAGCGTAGCGTTCAGGTTGTAATGCTAGCCCACAAAGAGGCCAATTGTTAGCAGCCACTGAGGTGATTGTATCTCCCACTCAGGGAGATGGACCTGCCCTGCTAATTCTATTTTGTGCTAATCCAGGCCAGCGCTGGGCTGAGTGCTCCGAGCAGCTCCAGTGTGGAGAGGAGTCAGACTCTAGAGGCACTCCACCTGCGTTTCTGAATCCATACCCAACAAGTTTTCCCGAACTGAAAATATAAATGTTATTTGGCAAGTAATCGGTTGTTCTGTCGGTTGACCAAACGACTTGATAATGAATACAAGTTCAGACATGGTGTCACTGCTGATAACACTCTGTATGTAATATAGCATACTGTATGAAAGCCAAAACAGCATCGGGAAGAAGGTTGGAACTTAAAACTTAAACTCACAGGACTAAGCTTTCTCTTTGTAAATCAAATGTAGTAAGGTTGTTTTTTTTCATGAACTAATAAGAGCGTAATTGTACATTTTTAGTTGCAATTTAACCAATAGAAGCCACTTGGGGAGACTTTAATTTACGAGACTGTCTTATTATTGACTTTTGCTCTTTAATCAAGTAATTATCATATCACTCGTTTGATGGAGTAATTGGTGGAATGCTTCATTAGTAAAATAATCCATAGCCTAAGACTAATGCTACTGTTTAGTAGGCCTTCATTTTGGCCTGAAAAGCTACTTTTCCTCACTCATTACGGCCTGAACTTTGTCAGACGGTATGTTATGTGGATCAGATGTGTACAGCGGTAATGATGGTCATTAACCTCAAACACCTGCAGAGCAGCGGGGCTTTAAGCTGCCGCACAATGAGCCGTGTTGTTCTCAAGGGAATGTGATGACAGTTAGACGGGCAGCGGAGGGGGCACTACGTATAGAGAAATACTATCTCTGTGAGAGGAGCATCAAAGAAGTGACCAAGGACCCTCATATTTAACATCTGGTGCCTTACTGTGTTCCAAACTAGACTCAGCCACACAAAATGTAATGTGGGTAATGTGTCAAAATTGCTGTAACACACACACACACACATTTCAAATCGTGAATATAATGTATCCTATTTTTCTCATTCATCAGAAAACCGAGGCCTGGGAGGCTGAGAAGACCGTGGCAGACATGGAGGACTACAGCTGGGAAGAAAGCCCGTCCCAAAAGAACATCTTAAGCATGTTGGTACGCATGAAAGTGGCGGGAGAAGGAGACGAGGAGGAAGTACGAGAGCAGCTGCTGGGAAGAAAAGAGGTGCAGGAGTACAAGAACTCTGTCGTGCGGCTGAGGAATGAAGGAGAGAGCGAGAGCACCATTCTGCAGTACAAAGAGGCCGTGAAGAAAGTGCTCAACCTGTAATACAGCTTTATGTACAAATGTATTTACATGAACATGGTGAAAATAAGCAGCAGGGACCACAAAAACGTGTCATTTTGGATTCCATGTATGTAACACAAACACGAGATTACTACTGCTCCAATATAAGGACATCGTCAATGGTCTCAACTAATGTATTTATTTTCCAAAATACTGTCGAATCAGGTGTATGATGCCATCTTTATTACAAAAAATAAAAGCCTAATGTAAGCGGTTATTAAGTGTTCTGTCTTTGAAGTTTGTATGCGTGATGATTAAAGCGTTTCTGTAATGAAAGCCCCATTCAGTCGGATCCTATCCCAACTTCCAGCTCTCCTCACTGTCAGGTCGACGAGTGGCACCCCAGTGAAAGGATGCTTTCAGCAGCAGGTTGTTGGAAGGTACCTCGCCCTTCTTTAGGAGTTTTGGTCCCTGGTTCGGTACTTCTAGGTCAGAAGAAACCCAAAGCACTGAGGATATGTGCTGGACTGAAGGAGGGTTAAACACTGAAGCCCAGCAGGTAAAAAGTAGTCCATCATTGGACATTGTTTACAATCTGAATTGAATTGTGGCTGTCCCTTTTTTCTTGGAAGCCCCCCTTAAGTCCCACTTATACAACTTGCCAAAGTTCCTGCGGTGTGGCATCAACATCCTTTTAAACTCTTTGAAGTACATCAGAATGTAGGACAGCCCAATGGCTTTCATATCGTCTTTCTTGAGGCAAATTCCTGCGGTCAAATGCATTGGCTCAGTTTCTTCTGTCAAATGTCATCGCGTCCCAAGTGAGTCCAAAAATCATGGCAACTATGTATTTGGTGATCTCAGACACACTAAATATCTCTGCCTGTTTAGCTCATATATATGGAATTGTAACCTCACTGTATCAGTGGACAGTAACTACAGTGTTATCCCTATCTGTTTAAAATTAAGTAAAAGCTGTTAATAACTCAGCACACAATAATTTTACAAAAATAGCGGTGCAAATTTACAATTGTCAAATGTCTCTTCATCCTGGATTCCTTCATTAAATACATAACAAAGTAGAAATGTCAGTTGTATCTTTTTGTTGTCTTGGCGCTGCTTTCAGGAGCTTTCTCTGACCAGCACGTACTTTATGAGACGCATGGAACCGCTCTTCCCTCTCCACGATGTCCGGTACCGTCCCATCCTCTTCCTCTGACCCCTCCAGCTCACCACCAGCAGGATGGAGCAGCAGCAGCTCAGCAGCACCGTGATGAAGACGGCCACTGCAACCAGCAGGGTGTGAGCCGCTACATGCCACCCAGACCCCAAACCCCCGAAGGTGTCCTCTCCGCTGACACCATGGTCTTCCTCACCGCCCGCAGTGTGGTTCCTCACCGCGCTGCTCTTCGTGTCATTGGGGGATTGCTTGCTGCTCTCTAAACTGCCCATAAGAGACGTGGAAGTTGGGGGGCTGGTGGCCATCTGAGAGAAGGTGGTGGGGGGTGTGGAGGGCTGTGCATGTGTGGTAGAAAAGGCAGGAGTGGTCTTGGGATTGTAAGGGATGAGTGGGGTTGTTGTGATGGGTGAAAGAGGCGTAGTGAAGCTGGGTGCAAGAGAAGAGGTGGAGGTGGTGGGGATTGTTGTTTGTGCATGGTTCTCTGAAGCTAGTGGAGTCTGTGGAGTGGAGGACAGGGCAGCGGTAGTTGTGGGAGCTGTAGAAGGCTCACTGGTGCTCTGCTGCGTGGGGGTGCTGGTGGCAGGGGTGGAGGTGGAGGTGGTGGGCGCTCTGCTTGCTGTAGTGGGGGGAGCATCTGTGGGTGCTGGAGTCAGAGGCTGTACAGCGGGCGGAGGTGGGTGGATGAACTGCCGTTTGTCAGGTGGAAGCAGCTCTGAAGCGTTGCCTCGACTGTAGTGGTGCGGTAACACACGGACATTAGAGGTGAAATATTTCCCAAACACCAACAGGTCAGGATCCGCACCTAGGGAACAAGACACAGATTTGGGTCTCTTATCTTTGTTGTATTTTACATTTGTGATACGATACTAAACATACTGGCTTTTTTTTAAATGTGAGTAACATTTTTAACATAAAAAAATCAGCTACTTTTCTTAAATAAACATTTATTTTAATAGTATTATTTTAATCAGAACAAGAAGTCATTCTAGGTCTGTGGTGGAAGATGTGGTTCCTTACTATCCTTTACTTAATTTTATATTGGATTACAATTTCATGCTTTAGTATGTCAGGAGCATTTTATGGTTGCTCATAAAGGCAGTAATAACTGTACTATAGGGTAATTACAGAGCTAACAATTATTTCATGAGATGATCACAATAATCTAGTGTTGTTCTCTAAATGTAATGAAGAGTTATGTACAATATTAACATCTAAAATACAGAAGGGTAAGAGTATGAAGTTGCAGAAAATGTACTTATTTTCTATAATTATTATGTCTAGCTCTAGCCAATGTATTGCAGCATTTGTATGTCTTGCGGTGAAAATGTACAACTTTTCTAAAGTAGGTGATAGGCTCTGGCTGTAGTCTATATACTTACAGTATAGGGAGACATTCTGAAAAATATATCAAACCACAATAGAAGATGACTAAATTACAGGAATTTTCAGTATTCACCTTTTACTTGACTACTTACCCTTAGTGATATTGTACAGAACAACGTTGCCTCTGTGGCTGAGGATGCAGCTCTCCAGCGTTGGGCAGTGCAGGTGGAAGCAGTTCACGTTTTCTTGAGTTGTATCATAGTGAAATATTGCCAGATTACAGGAAACTGTCAGAGGAAAGGCAATACAATTAGCTTAGATGATCGGTGGAGGCATAGTAGCCTACAAAAGAACAAAAAGTCACAATATTAAAAAATGTGTGTGGTTTATGAAGCATTACTCACAGTTTCTCGTGAGGCAACAGGTGCGGCTGCATTTCAGCGCGGTCTCCTCCTGGTAGGACTTGAGAAGCTGCGCACCTCTCCGCTGAGACTCCTCGATGTTGATGAAAATCCCGGGAAAGCGTCGGATCCAACAGTTCTTATAATAAGAGGTCGGCGAGCACCTCGACTCGGTGCGGCACGCCAGACTCAAAACCGTCAGCAAACCCCATGTGACATTCATTGCGCGTAATGTAAATCAGACCATGTTAAATTACAATCTGGACGCAGCAACGACATATCTGTGGAGCTGATTGCTGGGAGATGACAGGCATGAAGTGGAGCCAGAGGTCTGGATCTACCTGAGCCAGTCCCTCTGCAGGTGTGTCACTGCTACGCACCTGGTGGAGGAGGGGGGGGGACCCAGGTGTCCAGGAGGAACCACGGTATAGATAGAGGCCGATTCGCACTATAGAAGACTTTATTTTTTACAGAAAAGGCACCCTCTCTACATTATATATTTTATTTTGAATGCAATCAAAACTTTACTGTGGCAAATAAAACCAATCTGCCAAGCTTTAAACGCTTACATGTCATGGTAATATGGTTGGACACAAAAACAGGAACACATTTTATATAGCCGAATATTTTAGCAAATATATATCAAACATGTATTCAATAAATATAACCTATTAAGGTGATCATTTACAGATGACTATAGTGTCTTGAAAATATAAAAAAATACATTTTAAGGACCTCTTGTCCATTGTATCTTTATTAACCAATTAGATGGGAAGTATATTTCTGACCTTGAAAACTTTCAGTGACAAAAATACTAGGCTGTTTCCAAGGTAAAAAAAAAATGAACCTCTGTAGAGCTCATGTATTTATCTAGTTTCTGATGCGTTTTCAAAGCAATGGGTTGCAGTATTAATTTGGAACGCAGGTAATGGTTTCTCTTATTTTATCGACCTCTCTTTTGAGTCTTACAAAAATCTCATATCGCTAGACTTTTGACCTTCTGTAAGAGGGTTGGACATATTGCTTATGGCTGTAAGCATCTCTCTGACCTCGATGAAAACAGACCTTGTTTTTTCTCAGAGATTTGAGAGGGGATTGCCATAATTAGAGCAACCTACCTGAATTGTTTCAATTGGGATTATCAGAATAAGCCTTGTGATCTATGGCATTTGAATGTCTTCACCTATTGGACCGTTTACCTTACCTTTTGTGAGCGTGTCTCTCCATTGCAGGGACACATTCTCACGTTACACCCGGGAGTTGAAAGCACACGTTCTGAGTTCAGGTTCTTGGCTTCAATTTGTATATACTCCTAAAACAGGAGACTATTGCATTAAATTATCATATTTAGCTAAATCCCATTCCAGATTCCATATTATTAGTTAACTATTTAAGAAGAAAAGTACTTTTCCCTTTCCATCGAGTTAGCAATGACTCCTCAACACCACCAGGTGGCAGTGGTCTCTTCCATTCCAAATATCAATGTACTTTTTCACTAACAACAAAACCTACAAATGTCCATCGATCGATGGACGTCTATCTTTGAAACTTAACCGACTAATAAACTTCACAAAAGAGAAATCATTAAATACTAACACAGATTAATAGTGCTGAAATGCGTAGTTGATGGAGATACACATTGAGTATATTGAGATACTTAATTACCCACCATTTTGGTAATAGTATCCATTTATACATTTGCTTGATAAACTGCTCCAGATTCTCAAATATTGTTCATCAATGTAAAGAGAATAGGTTTTGGACAGGCATTATGGGAAAAAAGTGACCCTCAACAGCGTATTCTAAAACAAACCAGATTAAGTATGTGCATGTGTATAGATATTAAATCATCCAAGTTGAAGACAAAACCCTGAACATAATGTACAGCATATTTTCCCTTATATCAAGTCAACGAAACAGAATGCGAAATAACTCAGTAACAGAGGCACTTCGTAAGAAACACTTGTATATTCATCCGACACTTCAGGGCAAGTTACAGTCGACCTCTGTAATCAGGTTACAGATCTGAATCTGGTTCAAGTTAGCAGTGTTATGTGCCTTTTGTAGTCAGATCATTTTCAATCAAAAACAGTAAGACAATACTACAAACATTTAACATTAAACATCAAACAACGTGAATAGAATAGCTCTTTTTAAAATCATTTTAAATAAATCTGACTAGAGGAGATGGATGTGGCACTGTACATAATTACTCAAATAACACAAACGATTGGCACAAAAAACAGTGATATTTTATGGATGTGCAAAAGAGGGATTCTCTCAGTCTACTCGTATTCTTTTTCCCCATTGTAATTTATATTTAGGCCACTAGGTGGCACACTGAGGCAGCAAAACTCCTCTGTAGCAAACATCCCCTGCACATGCATGTATGTAAAATAATCTAAATCAAAAACAAGCACTAGTAAAATGAGATGAAAAACACCACCAATGGAAACTTTCTCATGCAGGTCTTGTTGGCTCCTTTGGTTTAGAGACCACAGTGTATCATGGTCCTCTTCTTTATTTCTTGTCACTTTTCACATTAAGGTCGTTTCAGCTTCCACAATCCTAAATCCATCTCTTCCTCAACAGTAATATAGTTCCCGGGCATGCTGACAAAGCCAGTGTTCCTCTGGGCTTCTGACCGAGTTGTATGGTTTCAGCTTTAAGCTTACGGAGGAAGTATCCAATATTTATTTAGTGTTGCTGCTCACTGAGATGCTACAATGGGTCTAGAGAAGGTAAGTCCCAACTGGGTGACTGTCAGTCTTTGACTAGCCTGTAAATATGATGCTGTGCGCCGTGCTCACTGGTGGACACCTCGAACACGTAGGCTATGCACAGGAGGGTTTCCAGTGTGTCCCTGTTAGTCACCACCTGTGGACAAAGAACACACAGAAGATCCTGCTCAGTCAAACTGTGGGGACACATATTTATCCAACCTTGGTTAGCGCTCTTTTTACTAGTACAGTTAAATGTAACACATTCTTATATTGTGTATTAAGTGTGTTCCTATATAGATAACGCTTCAAAAGGATTGCAAGCATACACAATCCATACATTGTTCCCTTAGATAAAAAACAAGGCTTTGAATGTACAGAATCAAAACTAGGAATCTAAACATTCAAGCAGCATAGGGTTAAGTTTGCTTGCTTCTAACATTCAGATACTTTGATAGCAGTTCAAATGTAATGACCTGATACAGCATCATCCTTCACTGTTTTTATGTTTTTGTAACAACACCATCATCATACTATTACAAATGATTCACCTATAGTATGTGTATGACCATGCTGGGCTTTATTACATTGGAAATGATGACAAAAAAATAAATAAAATTAGAACCAAGTACTGGTAATTTTGTAAGGAATTTTCTAAACGTGTGTGCATGTCTGAGCCTGTGTGTGCAGCTTCTGTTTAGGAGCTGTTCATGGTTAATATGAGCTAAATCAGCCCATTGAGTCACTTAATGACATGCTGCCATGTAGACGTCAGCGTGGGCTCAATATGGCCTTTGTTTCTTGGTCAGTAGGAATGCAGCCGCCAATGGACGGGACACCAATGTCTTTGAACCCTGGTGTTGAGGATCACTTTGTTACTATGGTGATACAGTCCAGTCCATTCACTTCTCTCCTTGAGACTGCTCTCTGAGGAGCACACCAGCGCATTCAGAAAAGTTTGGCATAAGGTAAAATAGAAAATATGTTTCAACTCTGCAAGAAACCATGCTGTTCAAAGGGAGAAAGGGATACCAGTTGCTAATGGTCTGTCAAGGTAACCCATAGAAACACGACCATATTTAGAGAGAAACTGTTTTCCAATGTCAAACCCTTTGTGGGAGCCTGCAAAAACACTTTGAAATTGAAAGTAAGTACAGGTATTGAACACATTCCTTTGACGTGAAGAGAAGCCGTTTATGCCTCTTTACACAAGCTCCAAAGCTACATTTTCTCAGTCGGCAATGCAGTCTGCTAACAATGGATGTGGTTGAAAGGTCGACGTTACTGGTGTATTATATTAAGCTTTCTTAAGCAATAGTTACATTACGGTAAATACTTTCATCTGCTTTCTTAACAAGACTTAGAGACGATAGAATGTTGATCGTCTAGTTTAAGAAGTTTTATCTCAGCACGGAAGAAAAACAAAATAATTAAATAAATGCTATTTTATGTTATACCAGAAATAAGTAAATCCTCTACACACATACAGTACATCCCTGATTGAAGTACCTGCAGGATAGTGAAGTTCTCCAGTACGCTGTTCATCATGTATTTCTCCGGCAGGTGTTTAAGCTTGTGGATGAAGTTGATCATGTATTCACATAACGGGGAACGGTGGATTCGAAACACGTAGCGCCCATTCTCAAAACGTGCATACTCCGTCTAGGGAAAAAAGATACAATGAAAGCATACAGTCCAATATATGACAACATATAACATGTTTTAAAAGAATTTAAAACACATTAAAGGATAAGATGTTGATGATATGTTGGGATACATTTTCCACCGAAACTCAATTGGATACATTGAATGTGAACGTCTATGAGATAAGCTGTAATATGTGTAATATAATATACCTAATGCAGCAGTTGGCATGCCACATATGACAATAAACATATTTCTTGTGACAACAGTAATCAAATGATGAAGCCATTAAATATCATTCTGTGGTCTACTGAGGCAGATGGCTCTACCTAGGGATGTGTATGTCTTTGTATTATCAGGTCCCTCAGCAGCAGGTGGGGGAGGGCCACTATGTGTCCATTTAACGGGAAGCATAACAGTTAGTCATGCTGGGGAGATTTGTTAATCATGTCAGTTTCCTGACCACAAATCAGTGGTAATTGACTGGAATCCATCTCCACCAGTAGCAGGTATTCACTCCTCTGGGTGATAATAGTGTTTTTTGACATGGTCATGACCTCTTAATGTTGAAATATCACTGAGCAATTGAGCAATCAGTGATCTTTACTATCCCAAAACCTAACATTCTCTGCTAAACCTGAAGCAAACAAAATCAGAATAATAAAAAAAAAGAAAATGTGAGCATCATTTATAGGCAAAAGACACACTATAATGAGAGTGGACATCTTCGATAACAATAACAGTCTAAAAAAGGACAGGTCAATAAAAGACGGTGTTCATTTCTGGATTTATAATAGCTTAATCCTACTGAAAATTGGATTTTGATGAGTTAACGGAGACCAAAGACTAAAATGTAATTGAATTTAATGTAAAATAAACTTAAGTGCAGACCTCCGACAAGGCCAATCCATTCAACTACATTTTTTCAGTCAGCAGTGTTAGGAAACTGTAGTAGGTTATAATATAAGCAAGTTCAAATTAGTTACGTTTGATAATAAATGCAAGGTATATTTCAGTTTGAATAGTTTATATTCCTCAAAGGCTGCAATATCCTTTTCTTACCTCGACTTTCTCCACCACCTGCTTGCCAAAGGAGCAGACTTTGGTGGATGAGGTGATAATCATGTTCTCAGAGCTTTCGTACTGACTGGAAACACCATAGAAGAAGCTGCTGTCGTCTTGCAGGTTTATACTAAGGTCTGCCTACAGGAAAGAACAAAAAAACATAACATGTCAGGATCAACTAATAACCAATATTCATTTTCAAACCTCAAGGACATTATCAAAATATGAGGGTCTACTTTTCTGCTCGCAGATATGGATTCAAAAGAACATGGTTGTCAGTGTGACTAAGACGCATCAACCGGAGTGTTACAGCTCAACAAAGCTTGAGAATGATTCTCTGTAAAGCCAAGAGGCATTCACTGGCCAGATCCTTGTTGACCCAGTATAACACCGTCAAATCCAGACTCAAGATTCCCAAGATGTGTATCTGTGTGCATGTGTGTTCTTGTGTGTGTGTGTGTGTGTAATAATGCAGTAGAAGACACACTCATGATAACCGACTTTTCATTTTTCTCTAACTCACGTTGCTTTTTACATCTTTATTCCTAAACATGATACATTTATTATGTTGCGAAGCCTCTTGCCACAACTTAAACAAATACAATGCCAAATATTTTAATACTACATTTCCTGTGTCCAAATAAGAAATGTTCAATTTAAAAGGCAGTGCAGTCCTCATGTGGATACAGATTCACCCATCTCTGATCTCCAACTAGTTGAAGTTTGAGTTGAGGCGAGTATAATCTGATTTTGGATCAGACTGAGGTGTCGTCTCCTCCGTCTGACAGCTGGGCTGTTTTACCTTTTCCCCTGTCGGGCTCTGTTTTCTAATGGGCCATTGAGACACCGCTCAGCCTCCTCTCATCTCTTCATCACCCTGTTCATCTTCATCCCTTGCTCATGTAATTCCTCTATTTGTCTTCATCCCTGGGGCCTAGTGACCCTCCCCGAACCGCCATTCCCTGCTTCCCTAACAGCCTGCGAGGGAATTCATCCAATTACAATCAGCAGCGTGCAATTGGCTGATTAGATCATGGTGGGCAGGCTAGCTGTGTAACAATTTAGCAGAGCCAGCTCAAATCGGATTCCCTCGGCACTTCAAAGGCGTGAGACAATCCGTTAGGACAGGGCCACGGGCGCTGAGAGGGTGAGGGGGGCGGTGGGGAGCGGGGCCGGGCAGCCAGCGACGACAGAGGGGTTTGCTGGAAATTCAATCTAGATCGCCATAGCTTTGGAGGTAGGCCAGCCGCCTGTCACCGTCACCATGCCAACCTGCACCTCAGAACACCCCCAAGTCATGACCTGCCATGTGGTCGTCCCACTGCGGCCACACCAAATAGGCTCTTCTCATCTTTAACGATGGTGTAAATAAAGTTATCGTGTTTTCAGATGTGTTGAGGATTTCATTTAGCTTATTCTCATGGCCTAGAGCTTTTTGCCAGTTTATATTTCCAGGAAGGGCGTTGAAATGCCCAGCTGTTTTTTTTTTTAAGCATTTCTGTGTATTGTCATGGATGCCTTGAGAATTGGAGGACCCCCTTGGGGTACGATAAGATGAACAGACTGAGAGGGAGCAGTGTTATGAGCTTGTTTTCCTCTAGCGGGGAGTTGCATGTGTCATAACTGTCAACTGGGCTTTGACGTGAATCAAGAGAGAGATATTTTATTTTTATGAATGACTTGTTGCTTACATAGCACCTGCTGTTCCTCCTGCAATCCCCATCTCTTGTTCACACCGTCTGTGTCCCTATTTCCATCTCTAGCTGTGTATTACTGTCTTGCTTCCCTTTTTTGATATATGGCGGGCTTCTCATCCCCTCCTTCCCCTCACCCCTGAATCAAATGCCATGGCTGGACCAGCTGCTCTTTCCAAGGACTGGAGAAGACTACTTCCAAAATGGTGTCACTCACCAATGTCTTTTATCTCTCCACAATAAATAATGTGACAGTCAAACATGCGAGATGGGTCATGTCATACATGCAAAGCCATCTGGTGGCATGAGATTACATGGCGCCGGCGGCACTTTGAACTTGACATTCACGGTCTTTGCCACTGTGAACTACAGCAGTTAAAGCTATGTAAGCCAATATATCTGCTTTGGAAATCACCAGGGGCCTCAATGATACACATTTTTGACAAAGTGGATCAGAGGATGATAGCAATCATGTCGGGCCTCATCAGCATCTCCAGAGAATGCCACTGTATTTAAATCCACATCACTTTGAATAGAGATATATGAAAATATCCATACATATTAAGTATCGCACGATGATGTGTTGTGAAATGGAATTAATCTCTAAAACTTCAGTTTGTAATCACAACTTTTGACTGTTATAGGCACATTTTGAGCAGATTGCACACAAAGTAGTGCCATGAGGTTGGTTGTTACAGAGACTGTAATACATGCAAATCCCTCTGTTCTGATTGCATACAAATAAATATTTTCCTCATATTGTATGAATATGATGGTGTGTTCTTTATACTATGACAGTTTCCCTAAATATCATGACACATATCATAAATCCAGATTCTTGCCAACACTCAGCCCTGCTTCTGACAGTTGCAGAGAAACGCTGGTTCCTGTTTGAGAGTGCAATTTATTTCAGGCATGCAAAACATAGTGGCTGACTTTAATTCTTAAGTTATCCCCCATTGGAAAAGAGGAGACAGCTCCCTAGTATTGTGAGTCAGATTTGGAGCCTGTTGTGGCAGGTGCACACTGATCTGATCACTGAACACCAGAGTAGGACTGCCATTGTTCACAGTGAGTTTCTGTTGCCAGCAGCTCATCCCTTGGGCTGGATGTGTTTGGGTTACCTGGTATGCGCAACAGCTCTGCGGCTAATGAATAGGTTGCTACTGAAACGACCCTGCAAGTCCCTCAGTATAGGAGAGGTAATAGTAGACAGAGAACTGATGGACATGATGCCTAACCGAGGAAAACCTCTCCTGACTTTGTAAGACCGCTTTTTCCCTCTCTACCTTTTATCACGCGTTACCCTGACCTCTGCTTTAACTGACATGTCTGCAAAATAAAATAGTTTTGTATCATAAAATGCCATTCAAAGAAACTTTAATTTAAAGAGCTGATGTTTTTGCAGGGAGAGGGGCCTTGAGGTAAAGAAGAGGATGGTGTCGATGTTGTGCAAGAAATAAATACTAAAGGTCCTGAGGTAATGCAAGGTGGCCAGATCAGCTAAGGTGAATAAAATGAACGTGTCAAGTTTGTTCTATCGCTCTGGTCTTTTTGTATACCCATTTAAAAATGTTCAGTTTGCACATTTCCACAGATTTCAACGATATCACACACTATCCTCAATCAGTCTTTTTTCCTTAGCCTTCATACTAGGTTGAGTTTATCATCATGCTTTAAACTCAACGCTCTCGGTATGTAATGGTGAGCTGGGGAGGTGGGGGGGGTGTTTGTCTGTGTGTGTTTTGGGGGGGGGATTATCTATAAATAAGAATTTGGGGGGGGTGTGAGGGTTGGACTCAGTCTAAGTGCAGAGACAGGTGCCTGGGCTCAAATTTCCCCTGGTGAAAGATCAGGCCTGCCACTCTCCCCAAGGCTGCTGTCACACACACATCAAGTCACAGTCATATACACATACACCCACGCCTAATGCATGCATCCATATAAACCCCCAAACAGGTCATGGCAGCAATGACTTTCCATTCATTCTGCCTTTAAATCGCACTTAAGTTCCTTTAACTCCGATGCCTAAGCTATCTCAACACAGTTAACACCGCGAGGCCATTAACAGCCAACAGGTGCTACAAAACATTAACAAGAGTATTCACTGTACTCTCACTTCACCTTCAGGGCTTGGGGGGGATTATATGATCTGGTGCTGTATGAAACATACCACACACAGAGCATCAGTCTGATATATACATATACAAAAATATGGGTCAAATAAAAAGAAACAATTTATTTTTCGGAATTAGTTTAAAAGATTCAACTGGATTTAGAGGAACTGAATGAAAGGTAACAAACATAATGGCAACAGATCTATTTGAACTGGATTGTATATTTTTAAAACTGTACAAAATGATTTACCCAGAACTTGACGAGAAAGAAAGCGTTAGGTGGCCCTTTGTCAAACAGCTCCTTCAGGCCTCCTTTCTTCTCTGGGAACTTATCGTAGATCTGTCTGACGTCCACGGACTCCAGATAGGCGTCGCTGTAGCTCGGGTTGGACTGACCAATGTGCACAAACAGGTGCTTGTTGAACTGCAGAGACAAAAGTGCATAACAGGAGATGAACAGAGCCAAAAAGGACAAATGTCCAGTTTGCTCAATTGCACTCCATGACATATCTCCCATTGGGCCTGCTGTTCCACTGAATCATATTTATTGTAAAATCCCATCAGCTGTCTCAAGGGTTTCACCCTTGTTCTCCACAGGACCATTCATGATCATGTGCTGTGCTTGTTTGTATATTTTTCATGTGTAAATACAAATGATCCTGTGATCTTTGTGAGGTGCTGAGTAAGGTACATATACTAAATAATGTTAACAGTAAATGTTTTGGTGCCCTTGTTCTGACCACACCCATCCTGTCCTGTCTACTCACATTTTCCGGGTCCTGAGGTTGCTCCAGGAAGGCAGAGAACTCCAGCATCCGCAGCTTGGAGCCGGCAATACTTCTACCCTGCCAAGGGGGGGCACCAGGAGACATTGACAGCCCGGCTGTGCTTTCATAACCTGCAGCCAAGAGGGCAGTGAGTGCTTAAAATGTGCAACAATTAGAAAACCTACAAAGAAAATGTGGCGATATTGCAGCAATTTCACTGCACTTTGTGCAAGCTCTTCATCACGAGCCGGGTGTTCTCATCACTTTGCCGGCATGACAGCCCTCTGTCAACACAGCAGGGTGGAGAAGGAGCACCCACCTGTTATAGGGGTCGGGCCGGACGCTTGCATGGCGTAACTCTGCTGGGAGAAGGGCTTAATGCTGGAGAGAAGAGACAGACAAAAGGGAGAGGCATGTTATGCACGGCCTCAGCCTTATGACCCCACCTCACACACTAATTGGACCGCCTGACCTCCATAGACTCAGGGGGCAGAGTGGTATGCTGAATGGTAGACAGCTGAACACTTTTCTTTATAATTATGGTGATGTGTTTTAATTCATTAATAGATTAAGAGCCTGTCTGAAATTGCTCTGATTATTATTAAGATGTTCACAAGATAAATTACTGCTGGATACTGTAGCACTACAGAGTGGGGGAAAAAATGGATACTCACTCTTCGTGTCCTCCTGGCTGACCTGAAAGTCCCCCGTGCCAGAACTGGGAAGCAAAGGAAGTACAAACTCTTACACAGTTCCACCTTTACACAAAATATTAGACATAAACTTGGTTGAGCTTGTTTTGATTTTCAAAACAGAAGCACAGAGCTGAGGTGTTCCTTATTACAGGAAAATCCAACAAATGGGTTTAAAAGAACACATAAATAGTTAGGTGAAGCAGACTAAAATGTGTAAAATGAACACATAAATAGGTTGAGTAGTAGGAACAACAGTCTCAAGTACCAACATTCGGGGGAAACGATGGACATATCAGTAGGAAGAATGAATGGACGTATTGGCCCAAACCACTATCCCCAGGTATTCTTTCTATAAAAGTGGCTGCTGCTCTGTCTTTCAGGATAATCTAATTAATGTAGGGGACAATGGTCAGGGACTCACCCCACCGGTAGTGGGATAAGCAGGCCTTGACAGGCCCTGGAGAGCCATCTTGTTCTGGAAAGCCGCAGGTGAGATGATCTGGGCTGAGGACATGGTGGCCATACTCTGCAGGGCCTTGTCTTTGGCAACCTGGTCCTATGGACAGGGACAGAGAGCCAGACAAAGAGACAGTTACGCAAAGGGAGAGCACTCAGACTCCATTTAAGCGCCCCTGCTTTTACTGGTAACACAAGCAGAGCTCTATAAAGGGAAATGAAGGGAGCCGAGGCCAGCTTGCATCATTAGTGAATCAGCGCCAGGCAGAGAGCTGAAGAGAAGGTGATATTACAGCCAGCGGCCTTTTGGTCAAGAGTTACGTTTATTGCTTTGGCAGGGGCAAGCCTGTGATGACAACTAGCTTCTGTTGCGGTCAAACTGGCAGAGAAGGCAGGGAACCGGGTCATGTGTTAATATGCTAATTATTGCATCAAAATTGCTTAATGCCATTAAGTTTAAAATAGTGAGCTACAAAATGGTGTTTCCTGTGCTTTACTGTAAAGCGATACAGCTCTTGTTTTTGAATCCACCCCTTGTGCAGTTTCCAAACCACAGAGGACTACAAGCACTTGCCGCCCAGCCCTAATGGCAAGGCCACACGTCGCATTCTTCTTCCCAGAATTGGCTAACACAAGGGCATAGCTGAAATATGGGGGGGTAGATGTGGTAGGGATCTCAGTTACAGCAAAGACACATTTAAAAAGGCCCGTCACAGAGGCCAACCCTGTGACCGGTGCCGGGGCTGCCAGCTGAACCCTGGTGGCCACCGTCCAAAGTGAGGGAGGGTCCTGTTGCCTGCTGCAAGTATGCGGGTGGACGAGAAATGTAAACTGAGAAAGTACTGGGGGGACAGGGATGTGTGAGCTCTCAGCGTACCGGGAAAACTTTTATTGAGGTACTTATCAAATGTAATACCTGGAGGGAATAATGCAGGGATTCATTTGTAGCCTGACACTTGTGTTTTGTTCAACGTGTTCATAACCCTGCACACTAAGCCTTAGGCTTCCTGAAATACGTTCACATTTCATTGAAATGTGTCAGCATCCCACTTAAACCTAGCATCAATTTAGAGTGCGCAATTAAAAATATCCAATCGTGTATGCCTTTGTGTGAGTACATGGCAGAACAGGATGTTGAAATACCTTTAACAAACCATGAAACTTCATTATAGGGGGGAACAATATAGGGGTACTCATGTGTTCACCCTCGTTCCATCTGTTGCTGTGTCACTTGATTAAAATAAAATAGACAAAATGCAACATACTAATCACACCCTTAGCATGTTTTGTTCTGGCAGTGAGCAAGGGGAAATCTGTGTAGGATGCCACACATTAAGATTTGCAATTGTTGTTTTGATTAAATCCCCATATCCTTTGTTTATGCATTAAAATGGAACAACATCAAGACATTTAGTGAATAGAAAAGAACAAAAAGAGGTTGACTCACGTAGCGTACCTTCAGCTTCACCTGGATCTCCCTGGCCTTCCGCCGGGCTAGAACCTGAATGTGACTAGATACCTAAAGACAGATAGACACAGAGTTACACTGTGTATCTATGTGACATGTATCCAGCTTCTGCAGTGTTTAACTCTTTTTCATATATTTCCTCCAGATGCTTCCGTTTCCTTCCACAGTTGAAAGACATACAGATGAATTTGAGACCTTAAATTGGCTAATGGGGTGGGCTGAATATGTGTGATATGACCACGGAGATCCTACTGCTCTTGATTCTAACCCTCTGAGATAACAATTGTATTATTATATATAGTTATTATTTAAAATTCACAGCTTCATCTCACAATTCATATTACTGTATGCACTGGAATACATTTGCATTGAAAGTATATAACACTGACTCTTTTCGGTAATATCTTTGTACCTGTAGCTTTCTCGAGTGCCTCAGATTACTGCTGTTGGACCAGCAGGTGTCCCTCTATCCCTCTAACTTGTCCCATCATCCATCTCTGATCCCTCACTGCCCCCCTTTCTCCTCTCATCTCTTCTCATTCCTACACACTGTCTGCCAGATGACTTAGCAGGAACCCTTTCTCTCCACATCCATCACTGACCCTACATCAGTCCTTCCATATCAAATACCGTAGTGAGGATCGAGTTCCAAATCCCTGGCCCGACCCGCCTCAGCCTCCCACCCAGATCCCCGTATTCCCCAGCTTCTTTTCCCTTCTAACAAGCACAGATACACGAGGTGGTGAAGAAACAACACCGACACATGATCCTATAGCATCTGTGCATTGGGCCATGGCCCTAAATCAATCGTCATCTCTATCCCTCCATGTAGAGAGGGAGTGAGAAGTCAGGGGGTGGGGGTGCCCAGGATATTGGGGCATCACTCGGCAGCAAAATACTTTTTCTGGAGGGGTTCAAAAATAGAGGCTGCTTCGAATGGCCTTTGCAGAGAACTTACCTGCTTCCTGGTCCGCGTCTTCCCTGTGCGAAGTTTAATGTACCGTGCAATCAACTCGTTTCGTCCTGTAGGGGACCAGAAAACAGCAGCACGTTAGAATCAGTGATCATTTGAAGGGGGAAGACAATTAAGTCCTTTTTTTATTTTGTATTATTAGAAGCAGGAAAATCCTTTAGAGAACTGAAACTGGGCTCATTTTTTTTTATCAATATCTTATATTAGAATATGCATACACTAGTGTGTTTATTGTCAAGTTTGTACAGTTTTCAGCTGTGCTGGTAGTCTTACTTGGCATTGTATTTATTCTGGATTTTAATCTTTTCATCTTGGCACTTTACAACATTACAACTTAAAGGGGACCTATCATGCAAAATGCACTTTTGTACGTCTTTTATACATGAATATGTGTCCCCGGTGTTCCAGGGAACTCACCAAGTGTCAGAAAACACAACCCTCTCTATTTTCCTCCATACCCAAATCTCTAAAAACGGATCTGATAAAAACTGATCCAGATTTGAACACTATCCTGACGTCAGGACGGTGGCGCTACGGCTATTGGGCCAACTCCACCAATCAGGAGGAGACAGCCACGGCCATTGCCGTTCGAAAGCGCTGGAGACGCTGTAGTACATATGCCAGGCCTGTAGATGGTGCTGTTCTCACAGAATCTGCCCTTGCAAAAACATAGCTAACATTTTTCAAATTGAGCGAAATGAGGCATGGCTAAAATGCATGATCTGTTTGGTATTTTGAAAAAAAAAAAAGTATAAATATGCCTTATATAGGTATGGTCCTACACTATATTATTCAAATATAGCATGATAGGTCCACTTTAAGTAATGAAGAAATGTCCTTCATGTTTTATCTTATCCCACTTCCAACACATTCTGGTGGTTGAACTTGAACTGAAAGTCGGGGGCTAATAAGGAGCACGTTCTAGGTGTGGAGGGATTCAAATGTTTACCATCACATTGAGCCTGCTCTGCATGATTTAGGTGGGAATTAAGAAATATACTATACACACTGTATATTTCTGTGCACACTGCTGTCATTGAAGTCACCGTATATTAGGTTAAATAAACTGCTCAAAACATTTTTGTTCTCATGTCTGTATATGCACATATTTTGAAGAGTTTGCATGCATGCACGTACAGATGACATGCACACGTGCCTGACGCAAGATTCAAGAGTGTCAACACTGAAAACTGTAAGTATATCCTCAAGCGTATACATGTGTCTGTGTCAGAGCTTGCATCAGCCTGACCCTCTGAGTGAACACTGAACTTATCTGTACACTGAGTGTGTGTCTGTGCTCGGCCGCTGCTGACAGACAGGTCACACTGACCGAGCAGGTGGAGATCCTGGGACTGGACTCGGCACAGGCCACTGACCAAAGGGGGCCCAGTCTGGTGGGGCAGCTGGTGTGTGTGTCAATGTTTATGGAATATGCCTTTACGCAGGCAGTAAATCTTGGGCTCGTTCCCCCTCCCTCCCATCCAGAGTCTCCGGTTACAGCGGAGGCCAACGGTCATGGAGCTTCTTTCACCCAAAAACTAAAGCTCTAATTGAATGTCTAAGATTGTAAAGAACGCACAAATAGGATGTAGATTGGGGGGTCTCGCATAAAAAATGCTAAATTTGCTAATTGCAGCTTCTGTAATGTCAGTTTTTGTTTCTGACTTTATTTAATATAATTATCAATTAAATATCATTGAGTTTGAATCTTGGTTGGACAAGAATTAGGTCATATTGTGTTTGAGAAAGTGTTGTAGGCAATTTTTTAAATAGTTGGTCATTTTGTAGACAGAAAATAACATTAATCTTGTTTATAATGTTGAATAATACATTTAAATGAAAATAATCATTAGTTTTATAGAGAACAGCATGTTTATAAGCGGATACTAATAAAAAGGGAGGACACAGCTAAACACGCATACACACAGTCATACAAGAGTTGGCTTGACTTTGCACCACCTCTTAAACACGGTCATTTTCCCTTGGCAGAGCATCTCCATGTGAATTAACACAGAGATCAGTCACGACACACAACCTGGTACAAACCCGTCACATTTTCCCTTACATAGTGACGCTTGGGTCCGACCTCACAACACTTCATAAACCAACCAATCAAGCGACCCCATACGGTGAAAAGTGGAAACCTGAAACTTGGCTGAACCCTGTTCAGGACTTTTGTCAGGCAATAAAAGTGATCAGATGTTTCTTACCAGTGATCATGTGAACTGTAGTTTGCTCAAACTATTTCCATGTAATGCTTCTTGATAGCATTTAAAGTTGCCAATTGATATTCTCAGCAGGGGGACATCTATCAGCCAGAAATCTGTTCTTTAAACCAGGGTACACCTATTTAGATCTATTAGAGTAGGATTAGAAAGTCAACAGGGGATATTTAGAGGCATCTTAATGGATGAGTCCAGTTTATTATAACTTCTTAATTTGGTTCCCTTAAGATTAGAAAGTCAACCAATAATTATGCACGTCAGCTTACAGCAATCACATGCTTGTTATTTGGGAAATACTTCTCTAGTTCAAGGAAGGCAAGTTATAAGTTGTCACGAACTGGAATTATCCAGTTTGTCTCTCTACACCTGAATAACCCTCGTGTCTGCAGTACAACACTAGTCCTTCATCGGCCAAGTTTCTTATGCAGCATCAACCAATCAATCCAAGTCATATACATTTAAACATAGTGACAATATATGAGAATGAACCAGTGACACAGACACACACACACACACACACACACACACACACACACACACACACACACACACACACACACACACACACACACACACACACACACACACACACACACACACACACACACACACACACACACACACACACACACACACACACACACACACACACACACACACACACACACACACACACACACACACACACACACACACACACACACACACACACACACACACACACACACACACACACACACACATTGTGTGAGGCTTTTGTGGACTTAACCTCTCTCTCTAAGACGCCCTATGCTCCAGTGTATACACACACAGTGGCACACAGACAGACATAAACTCACACACACTTCAGTTGAGTCGCAGCATTTATTCTGTCTCAATCTTATTTTCTTTTCAGGGCTGTAACTCCTCAACCGTTGAGTGTTTATCGGGAGGTGCACTTGGCAGCTGATTGTTCGAGCCCATAAATGCATATTTCTTTAATTCCCCAGGGATTAAGAAAGTGTTCCACGTTTCCTCGCAATCAAACTCTTGAAAAGACGAACAGAGAGCTTTGTCAAATGGCTCACAGTACTTGACCTCAAATGAACATTAAGTTGCCTCTATCGTGTTCCTCACAATACAGCAGTACGTTCTTCCAGTTCCCAGCAATTTATCTCCAGGAAACTTCACTGTGTGTACAGTAAAATGGGGATTTTCAGAGTAGCACACACAGAGGTGAGAGCATGTCTCCACAGACGAATACAAACTATTCATGAATACAGAAAACCGGTCCATCTTTCTCTTTTGATAGCCAGACACTTTCGAAACTCTGTCATGGATTTGTACGCTTTTAAATACTGTGAAATACCAACAGAATAAACAAAAAACGTTCACATTAAAAGGTTTTCCATCTCAGGAATAATTACAAACTGTATTCCACCACAACAGAGCAAAGGACAAACAATTTTGTCAATAGGATGGTATCCCTGCTCTAAATTAGCCTGGTATGTATTGAAAGGATGTAAACAGCTTCATTAATGGGCTGTCAAAGGGGCTTTGCTTCAGGTTCTCGTATCAGATGCCCTGCCACTCCTAGTGTGAGTGCCTGGGGAAGGGCCCCATCAAAAATATCCTCCAACACACCCATGAGATCAGAGAGGGGACTCAGTCACACTGCGATGAGATCATGATATCCAATGAGAGCAGCACAGACAGTGAACTTGTGCCAGCCAAAGCTGCAGGAGAGTTGGTAGGAACATTATACCATCACCCGCTGGTCCACAGTTTGATGTTGTTTATCACACGGCCTGCAGTCACAGGCTTGTCTGGGGGAAATATGATTCTGGAAACCTTTCTTAAGGGCATGAAAAGTTGCTGACCCCAGCAGCGGAAACTCAAAGTGAAGTTCAGGGGAGACTGCTGGGTTCTGTAAAGGTACATATTGTCTCAGACTCAGAACTAAGCAGAGACAATTATTTTGGGAAACCATATCTCACAGGGGAGAAAACATCTCCACAATGTCTCTGCTTATCAAATACATATGATTGTTCTTCCTATGGATAGGTGGGTTCACAACTAAACATTTTAACTAAATAACTTTTTTATGATTTAAATTTTTTTAATATTACTTCATTTCCGATGAATTAAACTTCAGTACAGATACAGCCTGAAGAAAATCTAAAAAGAATAAGATTTTGGTTTGGGAGTCAAAGTGATCTTAAAAGCTTTTCAAACACTGTTTCACCAACTTCCCTCCTGGCTCATTTCCCCAGGCCTGTTGGCAGAGGTCAGGGAGAGGTGGACGAGGTTAGTAGGGAGAGGTGGACGAGGTTAGTAGGGAGAGGTGGACGAGGTTAGTAGGGAGAGGTGGACGAGGGTAGTAGGGAGAGGTGGACGAGGTTAGTAGGGAGAGGTGGACGAGGTTAGTAGGGAGAGGTGGACGAGGTTAGTAGGGAGAGGTGGACGAGGTTAGTAGGGAGAGGTGGACGAGGTTAGTAGGGAGAGGTGGACGAGGGAGAGGTGGACGAGGTTAGTAGGGAGAGGTGGACGAGGTTAGTAGGGAGAGGTGGACGAGGTTAGTAGGGAGAGGTGGACGAGGTTAGTAGGGAGAGGTGGACGAGGTTAGTAGGGAGAGGTGGACGAGGTTAGTAGGGAGAGGTGGACGAGGGTAGTAGGGAGAGGTGGACGAGGTTAGTAGGGAGAGGTGGACGAGGGTAGTAGGGAGAGGCGGACGAGGTTAGTAGGGAGAGGTGGACGAGGTTAGTAGGGAGAGGTGGACGAGGGTAGTAGGGAGAGGTGGACGAGGTTAGTAGGGAGAGGTGGACGAGGTTAGTAGGGAGAGGTGG